ACCTGCATAGGACAAGCATGTGTCTGTATACACGGTGAACAGGCAAGAAGCAGCCTTCTGAATGCCAGTTTATTAATTCAGCAAAGAGCTCATTTGGCTTCCTTCTATCTGCAGGAAAAATACCACTGTGTGTCTCAGCAAATAACAGACAAAAGGGAATCGCCTGCCATTCAGCAGACATGTACAATATGATAAACCAGTAATACCATGGAATCTGCTTCAAACATAGAATAGTATCATAACATAGAACACTTCACCAGCACCCCAAGACTCCTATGTCTCATCAGTACTGAGGCTTCTGCCTCTCTCCCAGATCCCTCACCCACAAAGCAACAGAAAGGATTTCTGAGGTGCTTTCCAGCTGGGAAATCGTGTGACTCCACAGAAAGAGAAGCCAAGATCCCCTTGCTACTTTGTCAAGGGTATTTTTGTCTCTCTCCTGAAATAATTAATGGGCATTTTTAAGTGTAATACAGTTAGTAAGGGCATTAGAGTCAATCACACAAACATGTGCTAATTCTATAATTGATTGGAAGCTAATTGGGAACACTGAAGAGCACTATTGCTAGTGTCGCTAATGACTCAGACAGCTGATGGCAGGTTTTAAGAAACCCTTTCCCATCATGCTCAAAGGCAAGAGGGGATTCCAGCTCTCCCTAGCTCCATACGACAAAACAGTCCATCCCCACCTGTCCTCCTCACTCAGGCTCTCCTGGGAAGTTTCATGTTTGCCAAGACATCCCCAGGGAAAATATTGATCTCCCTCTCTCTCCAATGCTAAAGCAGCAGAGTGAGAAGAGGCCAGGCCCCATGTCAAGTATAAGGGTAAAATTCCAGCTCAGGAGTTCATGACCAAGTGCCCTTGGGCAACTGCACAAACTGCTCTGAGTCAGTGGCCGTTTTCTTCTTCATGTGAAGGTTTGTGAGATACGGAGCTTTGGAAGAAAGTCAAGCACATACAGAATGCAACATCCCAGTACATGGACAGCCTAGTTTAGTACATATTCAGATTTCCATTGGCAGTGTTACACCTTCCAATCCCAAGGCAAATGAAGGAAAGATGAACAGAGATCTGCTCAGTGCAGTGAGGATGTGAAGGTGGGAAAAAAGGCAGGATGGCCAGGATCTGACCCCAGGGTATCACAAAGACTTCATCTGCTGCACTTGGCTGGGGTTGGTGATGTTGGCTGGCTCTGAAATCCCAAGAAAAGAGGGAAAAAAGAGAGAAAGGAAAGAAGGGAGAAAGGAAAGAAGCCAGGAGATAAATTCTTTCATTTGGACAAAATGGCAAAAGCTGGAATAACTAAAGGCAGTCATGTGCACTATGTCAGGCCAATGCTCCAATAAGGAGAACTGTTAACACTTTAATAGCTATGAAATGAATCACTCAATTAATTCTCCACATGCTGAAACAGGTAACAATACATTTATCTGCCAGAATTATACCCTCCATATCATATATTTCCACAACTGTTAGCAATTTCATTCAGCATAACAGGAAATCAGTCGCACCTCATGGATTCAGGGAAAGAAGTGGCCTGAGGTCTGCTGCCAACAGCATAACTTGATGGAAGAGGTTTCATTGTTCTGCTCTGTTTTGGCGCTGTTTGGCTTTGCTTCCCTGGTTAATCACTTCCAATGCATGTACAGAGGGCTATAAGTCACCGGGTGAGGACAAAGTAGGCCTTCAGGATTCCTATGCTAGCATTTTTAACATAGAGCTGCAATTTCATGGGCAGTAACTATGGAGCTCCACAGTGCTTCAGGGTAGTGAAGTTTCTAGAAAGGGGTCATCATCAGGGTCACAGAATCCACTCACCAGGCTTAGACGTCTTAGAAGGGCCCAAATATCTCCCAGAGAGATTATTGTGAACATCCTTAAAACTTCCTTGTGTCTGAATCCAGGACTCCAAACCAACTTTCCCAATAAACCCAGGTGAACTGTATATAGGGAGCACACAGCAGCCCCAACACACACTGCAGAAAACAGCCCTACTGCAGTAAGGACTCCTCGGGGAACAGAAGAAGCTTCATCTCTGATAGAAGAAAATTACCCCCTTTTAGTAGCAAGAAGCAAGAGGCCCCTCCAAAAGACAAGAGGGATTGTGTCCACCCAAGCAACACAAAATTCCCAGTGTGTTCTCTTTCAGCTCTATACCTGCTGAGAAGAAAGCATTGAGGAGGCCTAAAAATTCACCTGTGGAACTTCACAGAGATCCCTTCATGTTTCTGTGCATCTTAGTTACTTTTCTATTGCTATGCTAAGATGCCATAACCAAGGCAACTTATAGAAGAAACCATTTATTGCAGGCTTAGAGTTTCAGAGGGTGAGTCTATGGCCATCATAACAGGAATCATGGCAGCAGGCAGGTAGACATGGCACTGGGGCAGCAGCTGAGGCCTTACATCCTGATCTGAATGACTGGAAATGGCATGGGCTTTTGAAACATCAAAACCCACACCCCCAGTATCATACTCCTCCAATAAAGTCATACTTTCTAATCCTTCCCAAACAGTTCCACCACTTGGAGACCAGTATTCAAATACATGAGTCTATGGGGGCCATTGTCATTCAAACCACCACAGTGTGCTATAAAGGTCTCCTTAGATTGAGTTGTAGGGAGACCCTCATTATATCCAGTCAATTTCATTATTGGCCATCTCTGCAGCTATGATTGACCCCTGGGGTGAGATAACAACTGTTCTCAATGCACAGGAAGACATCACCCATGCTCCCCAGAGCAGCCACTATGGAGTAAGCTCCACAGGAAAACTGGACAGTAGCAGCTCACCTTGGGCTTCACTACCTTCATGAAGGCACCTCTGACCAATGCCTCCTCCCGTTCTTGTCTGGTGACTTTCTGGGCATCCAGAAACTTCAAATTTGGCAACTTGTGCAGAACAAAGCACCTGGGAGAAAAAGGCAGAAACAACTCAAGAAGGTTGGAGGGAAAGCTTCGGGATGTGGGTAATGCGTATGAACCTTGGGAGTCCACATCACAAGACCCTAAGGATTTAGATCTTAGCAACTCCCTTCCTCCCTCTCCCCCCAAAACAGGTTTTTCCCCTTTATGGGAAATTTAAAGGGTTGTACTTTACACAGGCATACAACCAAACTTCAGTGACTCAAGGATAGATACACAACTCATTAGAACTAGCCAACTAGCAGGACCCTGTCAATGTATTCCTTTCTTCCATTCTAGGGAACAGGCCTGGCTTCAACATAGAAAGTTCTCAGTAAGACTAACATAAACTTTGATCAGTTGTACCACATATGCAACTGCCATTAGTGGGAAGCATCTGTATCACTGTCATTTTGGATACAACTGATCTGCAAACTGGAGCTGAGGCTGGATCCAGACCAGGAATTCCCAGAAGGGACTTTAAATGAGACCTAATAAGCTTGGATGGCTTTGGGGTACAAGTAGGTTATGCATGTAGCTGAGAAACACTTCACTGAGGATTCATGACAATCTTAAGTATTTTCCGTCAACATTTCTGGGTCATTTCCACAATGTAGTCCAGAGATGATCTCCATCAAGGATAAACAGAAAGTGGAGGAAGTTTCTAGGGTCTCTTGACAACCAGCAAATACAGGGTGGCCTCTGTTCTCTTGGGAAGAATCATTAGTACTCTTATGGACCACCAATGGCTATGTATGTGATAATTGCCCTCAAACAGATGTGTAGGAAGGGTATTGACAAGAAGATACACTTGGCCAGGGTATATGTTTATAAGTGTATAAATATACACATTTGTCTATACTTTCTTGTCAGCAACAGCCATCAACCCACTTGCTTCCCATCAAGACGACATTCTCTATCTATCAAATGAAACATTGTTCAGGGCTTCTTCTGCTTAGAAGAAAAGCTGAACACCCAATGTCAAGATGGGTGTTTAGCTTATCCAATGAACAGTCTCTAAAGAAACCCATCACTTCCTGCATCCAATTCCTCAGAATTCTCTCATCTTCCAAATCCCAACCACAGTATACGTCTCACCTCTAACACGTAGTGCTATCTTAATTCTAAACACTCTTAGAATACACTGTCAGCACCCATGCCAACATACTGTCATTTCTAGTTATTTCCTTGTAGTTCAAGTAATGAATATCCTTACCTTTACTCCAACCTTCTCTAAGGCTTACCTTCATTCTATCTTGGAAACTAATGCAAGAATGAATTCAATAGCCTATCCCTTCATTTCAGCCACACAAACTTTTCCTGAGTATCTGCTAAGCTCCAGGGATACAGAAATGATTATGATACCTCTCCACTCTCAAAGGGGCTCTACTGTAATGAGGAGTATGCACTGACACACAACCAACTAGAAGTCAGTAAGGTTAAGTAGACAGAGTCATTATGGGAAAACAGAGAATAATGGAAAACTAAAGGGAAAAGGAGCACTACGAGATCTCAAACAGGCTTCAGAGAGTCAAATTCAAAAGCAATCAACTTAAAACTTTATCAGTATAGATATTACTCAAGCATGCACTGTACCTCCCTCTCTTTTGGAACCTCGGATTCTCACAGCCTCCTTCCTCATCCATAAGGTAATTTCATGTCACCAAGTGATCATAAGCTTATTCAGGTAAAAGACCTGGTTATCACTCAAAAGCCAGAAGCAGCGGTTTAAAGCCCCCTGGACTCTTCAAGTCAAAACACACTGGAATTATTTTGCAATTAACTTGGATTAATTCTCTTATGAATTAAATTATTATTTCATGTGAGTGAGCAAGCATTTGGACACTGGGCATAAGTCAAAGCCAACATTTCAGAGCCAGTTCTTTCCTTTGACTTCATTGATGTAGGGACTTTCTTTTGATTTTGCAGTGCTATGTACTATAGGTTAGCCGGTCCCATGAGCTTTTGGGCTTCTGTCTCTACCTTGCATATCCTCATGGAAGTGCCTGGGATTAGAGATGTGCACCATGACAGTCCCAGAGATGGAAATCAGGTCACCGGGTCATGATGTTCTTCCTTCCTTCCTTCCTTCCTTCCTTCCTTCCTTCCTTCCTTCCTTTCTTCCTTCCTTCCTTCCTTTCTTCCTCCCTCCCTCCCTCCCTCCTTCCCTCCCTACCTCCCTACCTACCTCTCCCCCTCTCTCTCTCTCTCTCTCTCTCTCTCTCTCTCTCTCTCGCCCTTGAAATTCCATTACAGTCCATCCCAAGACCAGAGGTCTCATAATCAATCTTTTTCTTTCTCCTTCCTGCTCCCTCCCTTCCACCTCCCTCCTGCTTCCTTTCTGGCCTCAAACTATTCCCCCCTTCCTTTTCTCCCCAAGCCTTTCCCCAACCCCTCCCAACGCCTCTGATCTTATCCAAAATGAAGCAAAGGGCTCAAATGTTCTTTCTACCCTTGAGCAGAATTCCCACCGGCCTCATACTGTCAGAGAAAACTTCCATCTCCTGCTTATACTGGCAAAGTCTTGATGACAACAGATTCTTTCAAATAGAGACATGTACAGACAGAAACAATATGTCAGGAGTGACGCTCGAAGAAGTAAAGACACCCACTAAGTGTAGGGTGGGAAAAGATGAATATTCAGGTGAGGACAACATCAGTATTAGAAAATCAACCAGTGTTTAATGATGGAGTGAAAGATGCCTTCATGGGGCTGCCAGGAACCACGATGACAACAGACCGCGCATTGTCATTTCGCCTCACTTTGGATCACAGCTCTGAAATCAAAGGAGGAAGACAGAGAGGTGCTGGCTTTTAAGCTAGTTAAAAATTTTTAGATGACAAAGAGCTGCTGTTTTCAGACATTTTTCTTCTAGTCAGAGAGACAGCCTATGACACAGTCTGCCAATCACCCCCAGACTCTGACTGACTTCGTTTCCATCCTAAGGGCCACTGTGAGTTCTCAGAGAGGTTTGAGGAACTCTAGGGTTACCCAACCTGTTAGAATCAGAATGTAGGCCCTGGCAGGATAACAAACCACCATAGGGCTACCTTCCCATTCTCAATAGACCAATTAAAGAGACAAATTAACAGTGGAAAAGTAGATGTGGCCACATTGGGAAAAGAAACAAGGTAGTCCAATGATCCCCAAGTCCATCTTTATGGTCCTATGATGATGTTTAGTTTTAAATAGAGGGCCAGAAGTATGCACAGCTAAGCAGTTCTGTTCAAGGAAAGGTTCTGCCTATCACCATTTGTCTCCCTTCAGGTGCCTCCTGCAATATGAGCTGAGGAGCTGTAAATCTCTTTCAGGGAGGCAAGATCCCGCTGGTTGGCACCAGGCTTCCAGGCTTTTCTTTCTTCTAGAATGAGATTCTGAAGGAAACTCCAATTTCTTAGCATCTATAGACTGATAGCCAAAAAGGAGGGCACAAGGGACTTTTTAGACTATCTTCATCCCTGTGAGATGTTGCTCAGTTTCAGTTTGATCCCCGTGGCCCACAGCAGAAGGAAAAATGATCCCCGAGAGTCATCCCATGACCTCTACATGTGCTCTGTGGCAAGCAAGCTCCCCCAACATGTATCATACATGCATATATAAACATATACACACTAATAATAAATGATGTTTTAAAAATTTGAAATGGGACTAGAGATATATAAATGCAGTTAAGGGCACCTTGTGATCTTCCAGAAGACCCAAATTCAGTTACCAGCATCCATGACCAGAGGCTCCCAACAACTGTAACGGTAGCTCCAGACAATCTGACACCCCCTTCTCACCTAGGTGGGCACCCATACATGTGTAGCATATACTCACACATACACAGAGACACATAAACAAACATTAAGATTAAAGCTTTTTTAAATGAAGGATCTGTGCAGGGTGCTGAGAAGGTGAGGAAGCACAGCAGATGTCCCCTGCTCATGCTATGTCCTATGTTCTAGCCCAGCATTGACATCCTAGCACAGCGGTTCTTGACTTGGAGCAGGCATCCTCATGACCCACAGGCTTGTTAAAGCACAGATGCAGTCGCCAGCCCATCCCCGGAGCTCCTTACTGAGGCGATCTGGACCGAGGCCTGGAATTTATGTTTCTAATAAGTTCCCAGGTGATGCTGTCACTGCTGCCATCCTGCTGAGAACCAATGTCCTAGTGAAAACAACACCACAAGGACTAATAGTTGGGAAATTATGAGCGCAATGAGGCAGCCAGGAGTCTCCTTCCCAGTTCAGCGAACAGTCTGCCCTGCCCCAGCACCTGTGCTACACAGAGCCCAGCTAACAGTCACATTTACCAGATCTTCCTGTCCCCTGGTGACTTAGAATAGGCTCCGGCATTCCTGCCAAGTGATAAGCCAGTGGGCGTCCAGTCTGCCCATCCCATGCTGGTCTTGGGAGATCTATTTCCCTTTGTTCTAGGTCATGTCAGAGTATCAAAAGCTGCAGCTTCAATTCTGAGTATAATACAAGTTTGCCATAAAAACACAAGAGCAGATTGCCGAAGCCACAGAATGAAGACTTTTACAATATCAATTCAACCCTTGTAAATTTAATCCGGGGTTATTTGTTGCACCCAAATCTCTTTACTGTGATGTATGACTTAGTTACTGGGGTTATCACAGCCGTATCCTAAAGTTGCATAGTACATAAAACATTTCAGTTAACAATGCAGGGAGGTTAACTCCCCCAGATAACCTGCAATCACAAGGGCTAGTCCAGATGACATCCTTCTGTCAGCTCACAGGAGCTATTGATGGTCCAATCAGTTTGTTTTGAAGGGAAAGAACAACAAAAGGCCAGTAAACTTATTCAGACTGTCAACAGGGGCTATCGGGAATGGGACTTGCAGGTAAGTAATTCTGGGTGTTTTAAGGCTATTATCAAACAGCAATGGCTGAAGGGAGAGACAGCTACTAATAACACAGAAGGCAGCCATCATAAACCACTTTATGGCAGAGCCCCCCTGTCCATAAATCCTGTGACACCCGGAGACAGCTTCAGATT